ATATATCTCTAGCTTAACTTAGTGAGAATTTCAGTTTAAATTAACCACAGCTCCGCTTGAATTACTCAAGCGGAGGTAAAAATGGAAAGATTAAAAATAAAAAGAGCCTAAAATTAACAGCAAAGGCACAAGGCCAGATTGCTGAAGCTGGACCCACGTGAGCAGCGCCGGGACCAGCAAGGACCAGCCCTCACTCTCGGCTCTGTGCCTGGCTTTTAAATCCCTTTAAGGAGGACTGTGATGGAGACAGCCAGATTTTACAGTGGCAGCCCAGCTGGAGATCAACACTGTAAAAACAAGCCCATAAAACTCCAAACCACATTTGCAATGAAAACATTAACGTGACGAGCATCCTCGGCAGAAGGCATCTCCCCGGTCGGCAGCCGCCGAGCCGCTGCCTGACTCCCGCCGCATCGCACCGCTGACGTCATTTCTCTCCTTGCTGTGGGAGCTGTAATGAAATTCAGCATCTTGTGTCTCTTCGTACAAGCCCGCCTCACCGTTACTGAGCTAGTAATTAAAAGAAAAAGGGGAGGGGAAGCAGGGAAGTCAAGACTAGCATGTTTCTTCCTCTTCCTTTTGTCCTTCATCCGAGATGCAGCGGGTTTGCTGCCAGGAGATGCTTCTTGCATCATCTTGAGACACCTCTTGCAGCCCCTTAAGCCTTTGGGGCTCCCTTTTCCTCGGGGCGATGCTGCAGCCCGGCTCACCTCTCAGCCCCTATGCAGAGCGGGGAGCAGGTCTCAGGGCTGTTTCTCCTGCCCCGTGAACATCCGTGTTGCCGGTTTTGAGGTCCACAGCAGGCACTGCCTCAGTGTTTGATAGGAACCTGCTTCCATCCCACACTTCTGGGGCACATCTCCCCGAGCAAGGAGAAAGGGGCTTTCGCCATAAAAACCCCTGCAGCAAACCAGGCGCTGCTATCCCGCATCCTGGGCCAGGACCACGCCAACCCAGATGCCGCTGGGGTATCAGCAAGTTTTTCTCTGTAATAATTACCCCTGTGAGCCATGCAAACCAGAGGAAATCCAACCTTTTCCTCTTAATAAGTGCCCCTGCCTGACTTTCCATCAATACACCAACAGGAGCTCTCTTTTTTCATTTATCACCATTGATGTTCTGTTTCTTGTTGTGTTCCCAGCATTTAGGAGAGGTCTTTGCTTAAGACCTCCATGGACTCCTGGACAGAGGGGAGTCATTAACAGAAAAATCAAATAAGCCATCCCAAACACAGCCGAGGTATGGGGAAGCTCGTGTGAGGAATCTGGAGCTGTGGGGAGCGATGGGGATGGGCGATGCTGGGCGTCACCATGCTGCATCCCACCGCTTTACATCAGGAATAACTCAGCACCAATCCAGACACTAAGGAAGATCCACGCCTGTAAATACCTAGGGCTCTCCTGACTTGATTGCTGTTTTAGTTAATTTACCCTAATGAAGAAGAGTGTTTCGGTACAAACAGCGGTTGCTAACAAGCGCGTGGTGGCAGCATCAAGCGCCAGCCGGCGAGGCGGCAGCCGGGAAAAACCGATGCAGACTGCTTGGTGATGGAGAGCTGTGCAGCTCTGAAACCCAGCTGCAGCTCCCTGAGTCGGGCTTGCCCCCTCATCTGCCCGGGTTTATAATGAGGAGAGCAGATTTAAAAAATTAAAAAAAAAAAAAAAAACAAACAAAAAAAAAACCCAAAAAAACCACACACACACACACACAAATCTCTTTCCTGCTCGCTGTGTGCTTCTAGCTAGCCAGGGTTAGTGGAGCAGAGCAGAAGCGAGCTGTCTCTGCCCCATATAAATGGTTGCCATCCATAAATATTTTTTTTTTTATGGTTTCAAATAGAGTGAAAGGTTTTCCAAGCTGCAGAGCAGCAATATGCTGATCTCACTTGAACATCTGGAATAGTTTCGAATGATCGCTTTAATTGAATACAGTAGTAATTATAAAGTTATTTAATATCAGATGGTTTGGAGGATTTTTTTTTCCCCTCTCCTTGGTGACTTAGGAGGGGCCATATGAATTGCAGGGCTATGTTGGGTGGCTATGCAGAAGGATCCAATCCCAGCCCAGCCCTGGGCAGCTGGAACAGCTCAGCAGCCTAAATCTGGGTACATGACAGATCCACCAGTCAGTTCCTGCTTTAAATTTAAACCGTTTAAAATATTTAAGTTTTTTTATTATTTTAGCAGTTTTAAATTATTCCTGGACAAGGCTGCCGTGTCTTCCCTTGAGGTTTTTTTCTGTGCTGGTGAGAAGGTAATTTCTGTACCCTGATGTGCCTTGAGAGTGAACTGGGCTGTCTGAATCACTCATGCTCAACTCTCTTCAGTTTGGGGGACACACTCACTTTTCCAGTGTGGATGTGGATCCCTCCAGCAAGACCTGAGCATATGCCACCCTTCCAAAACCTTTCATCAGCCACCCACAGACACCTCAGACAAGATGATGAAAAATTGCTGATCTCGAACCACATCAGTCGCAACCCCCTTAAAACACAAGGCAGGTCTTCCCATGCCAAAGCACCTCCATGCCACACCGTCCTACCTCTCCTGGTGGCCCAGTGGCTCATCTATGAGAAGCACAGCCTTCACAAAAGCATCTAGAAATGGCATAAAGACATCAAGAGACAGAAATCAATTCTTCCCAGTGGTCATCCCTTCCAATAGTTAATCACCCAACTTTTTTTTGTCCAGCCTTAGCTTCCAGCCGTTGATTCTCAGTATGCTTTTCCTTATAAGAGTGAAGAGCTGACTCTTCAGTATCTATTATTTTCACCTTGTGGTGAGTTTTTGGCATGAGTAAACCAAGGACAGGTTCACTTGGGAAAAAAAAATAATTTTCTTACAGTACAAATTACTTGAGAAAATTGCACAGAAATAAGAATGTTTAACAGTTCAAAAACCAGACAGATAATTCTGCCCAGCTTCTTGGCTAGTTTAAGTCAATTTGGCACAAACCTAAGCACAGCAACCTGCGTCTTTAAAACTCAACTAGGAGCATCCATAAAGTCCAAGAAAAATAATTAAATAAAGGATGGGAAGTGGTTGGGTAAAGTACAACGAGGCCTCTTTTTGCCAGCCCGTGCTTCAGAGCTGCTGTGCTTTGGATAAAAGGAGGATGAATTTTGGGTGGTGATCACTCTGCCTACAGGAATTATTTACCCTGTGGCTGACACACAGCCCTGGCAAAGCCGAGCCACCCTGGAGGTGTCAGCACATGGGCATGCTGCCCCGAGGACTGCTCTGCTTCATCCCAGCTGGCACAGACCCACTGAGCTCTGGCTCAGCTGCCTGCTTCCAACACAAACCTTCATTTAAACCAGAAAGTCAAACCTAAGCTGAGATCCAGCCCATGCTGCAAACCAGCTGACTCCTTGAGCACTCAGCTTTTATTCTCAACCCAAAGATGCACGACTGCTCAAGAGCAGTAACAGGTTTTTCGTACTATTATTCTTAGTTAGAACATCCAGCCTTTCAGCTTGTGGTTGCTCGAGGTAAAAAAAAAAAAATAATAAAAATCAGCACAATTTGAACCGTGATCAACCAAAACATGAAATGAATGCTGTATTTTATTTCATAAACTCCAGCAATACAAGGCTGCCTGGTAGATACAATGTAATTTGTTTTGGATGTAAAGATGGAAAAAGTAATTGTTTTGTCTTCAAGGCAATTAAAAACCCCAAAACTATTTCTGTAGTCACAAGAAAGAAGCTGCCAGGCTAAAGTTCATATTTAATAAACTATTTTTCTGGTTCCCTTATATTAGCATGCAGAGATTGAGCAAAATAATGACAACTGACAAAGTCGCTAAGGCACTGTGTGTCACTAGGAAGTCACTGCTGCTGGTATTAGGAGCTTGCCTGAGAGCCAGTTTGCTAAAAAACAAGCAGAAAGGGAGGGGGGGAATGGCAGTTGCTGAATAGTTCTTGAAAATATGACCTAAGAAGAAAAAGCACAGAAAAAGAGCAGGATGGGATAATTTAATGCTTTTTAAGACAATTTCATGATTTGGAATCATAAGACAATTTTAAGGCAGTCTTAAAGCTTCTGCTGAGCTCTCCTCTCAGCTTGTCTTAACTATGCAGAAGCTGGACCCCAAAGCCTGTTGCAGTTACTCCAGAAAAACAACATCTCTTAATTTAAAAAGGTATTTCTAAAAGAGTATTTAAATAACTACAAAGAAGTGATGTCTTGAGCGAAGAAACCACACTAAGGACTTTTTTTAACCACATGATTCATTGGCACCTGAACAAGCAGCACCCTTTAATACTTCCCCCTTTAGGATTCACCAGGATGATGTTAGCACACAAAAAGGAAAAACAACCATACAGCCAGACAGCTCTAAGAGTCAACTTCTATAGCACCAAAAAAACCCACCTGCCCCCGTAAAGGCCAATTTGTGGTGATCAAGCCCCAGAGCCAGCCGTCTCAACACGCTGGATATAACAGCAAAGCTACCATCCCAGATTCTCTTTTTTTTTTGCAGAGTAGGTGGAGCACAGTGATGTCCCACAGAAGGTCCCCACGTGGCCTGGCAGGGCGATGGTGGGCTGACACATGGTGCCAGCTGCAGGGCTGCCAAGCTTGGAGTTGGGCTTGGTCCCTGCCAGGACCCAACGTGCCATGGTGGCCACCAACACCTCATGGTTATACAGAGCCATCATTGCTTCTGGTAGCAATTAAGCTACGTAACAGGCATTTGGAGGGTATCAGGTTCCTGCTGCTTATGGGGCTATATTAATAACTGGGGCTAAAACTGTGCAGACAAACATAAAGGGGAGCAGAGCATCTCTGCTGTACAAAACAACTGGGATGGAGAAAGGAGATTTCTCCAGAGCAGCAGCACTGGCAATAGCAAAGGTCCTCTCAGCCCCCAGGGCTCCCCCAGCACTGGAGCTCAGCCTGAAACCAGCTCGGGGGGCCCTTTTGGTTCCTCCATGTGGAGCACATCCCTCTTTCTTTGCTATTCCAGTTAAAAGCTGTGTTCCTCTCTTTGCAGCTGGGCCACCAGCACACGAGAGAGATGCAGCTGCAGCCCTGAGCGGGTGCTACCAAAACCATCCGTGACCCACCTCCGCCGAGCCCAGCACCAGCCATGAGTGGCTTCTTCTCACGCTTGGACCCGCGGCGGGTGCCGTGGGGGGCGGCGGGCCATGCCCTGCGCACCCGCATCCTGCGCACCAAACCCGTGGAGTCAATGCTGGAGGGCACGGGCACCGCTGCTGCCCAGGGCGCCAGGCTGGCCAAGGTCCTCACCACCCTCGACCTCATCTCCCTCGGCGTCGGGAGCTGCGTGGGAACTGGCATGTACGTCGTGTCCGGCCTGGTAGCCAAGGAGATGGCAGGGCCCGGTGTCATCGTTTCCTTCATCATCGCTGCCGTCGCCTCCATCTTATCAGGTGAGTCACGGGGGGGTGTTTTTGGGTAACGTGCCATCTCATGCATCCTCTGGCTCCATCCATGGGTGGATGCCTGGCAGGACCCATGCTCAGCAACACATTCTACGAGGAGGTAGCGACATCCCTGTAGACTAAAAAACCCTTTCACACTGAGCTTACCCAGCCCACGGGGCGCACTGTCTCTCACTGTCCAAAATATCAAACCAAACCTCCTACTGGGAAGCAGCAAGCCCAAGCACAATCACCCCGATGAGCTCCTGATGCCTTCCCCAAGGATGGAGCCTGTGGTCAATATAATTTGAAACAATGGGGAGTTTTGCAGTGTGTGTCCCAGGCAGAGAGCAAGACTGAGCCACAGCGTTGGAGCAAGAGCACAACGTGGCTTGTGGGAAACCCTGTTTCAACAGGAAAGGTGTCAGTGGCTCGGGTAGCATCAGGGACAGCTTCCTTGATAGTGGACATTGCTAACAGTTAAAAAATTCCTCACTACTTTTAGAGTTGATTTTATTGGCTCTTATTCATGCAGGATCACTCTCTGAATATCCAAACAAAAAACACAACAAACAACGTGCAGAGAGAGGAATTATGTATTTTAGTGAAAAGCTGGTGAATTCCGTCTCCTCCGTAGGAACCCAGCTGAGCATATGGCTCGAGCTGCGGTTTCCACATGAAGCCAGTACTGCTGGCATTTGTCCTTTCCAGATCAGTGCTAACATGATGATGTGATGTTCCTGCTCACAGGACTTTGCATGCTGTGTCAGTCTGGTATCCAGCTTTTATCCATGGGTTGGATAAGGAAACGAGTAAATGGCAAAGGGCTTTGATAGAAGACAGGAACAGCAAACACAGCAAAATGACCTGGCTCAGCTTTTGAAGTCTCTGGATTTTTGTAGGAGGAGGTAGAAACACATCTTGCTCTTTCCCTGGAGGTCACAGTGCTGCTCCATGGAGATCCCACCAAAGTCCATGCGAGTCTGAACCCCCTGCAGCCCAGAGGGACAACCCTGGCCCAGCACAGGAACAAGTGTCACGCTCTGCCCAAAGCCATGCCGAGGAAAGATCCCAGCAAGGCGGCTGGGGACCACCACACTGGAGCCCTGACTCCCCCCTCCCCAGTTAGACCCCACCAACAAGCCAGCCTGGACACATTTACCACTGGTTCAGTCCAGAACAAGAGCTGAGAGCATGCAATGAGATCTGATGCTCAGCTGAGATCCCAACACAACAAATGAACCAAACTGCCTGTATTTTTAACTGACGTAGTAGATAGCATCAGTGTCTTTATCCTTTCCCACTGCCCGCCTGCTCTCTACAAGGGTTTTTCTGGCCATGATGCAATCCAAGTGCAAACAAAGCCTGGGTGGGTCTCATCTAACAAAAACACACTGTCCTCCAAAAGGGGCTTTTTCACCCCAGACACGAGCCCTGCCCCGCAGCAGGGAGCTCCTCCTGCCTTCACCCACGGGAGCCCGTGCCGCTTCCCGCTCAGCTTTCATCTCCCCTTGCTTTTGTAGCCCTGGGAAAGTGTTTTGCAAAGGATGCAGTGTTTTGATAGTCACCTTGGCCGCTTCCTCACTTCGTGGTTGACACTGCTGTTGTTTGTAACAGCAACACGGTTTTGGCAAGTAAAGCTGAACGAGGGTTTCGGAGCCAGACGGGCTATCGGGCTCATCAGGAACGTGATTTCAGCTCTCATGTCACGGTCACTCCCAGTGAACTGGGCAGTGAGCTCAGGCAAACATGCACAGACAGATTTTAAGGAGCTTCTCCCAGTTTTAAGGCCAGATGGGACCACTAGATCACCTATTTTCCCGTGATGTATTGAAGATCACAGAGTCAAATCCCACTGCCTGCACAATGAAGCCAAGAGGGTTTTGGCTAAAAAAGCCCCTTCCAGAAAGCCATTCAGCTCCTCTGGGAGGGAAGTCCTGCTGGGCAGGTCCCACTGGTGGGAAATCCCTCCACAGTTTAATGGGGCTTCAATTAGGGATTTTTTTCTAATTTCATCTACCTGACAAATTCCAGTTATGCCTTCCCCAAGGTTTAAGCAACACGTGCCCCATCAGGGTACTTACAGACAAAGCATAATCAATTAACCTGATAAATTAAATCAATGTCTTTCATTCTCTCACTGGGAGGACTTTTATTCAAATCTCAAACAGAAGCATTTGTCCAACTTCCCTCCACAAAGCCTCCAGTGCAGGGGACACGGCAGGCTCCCTCCATCAGCTGCAGCCACTGCGATTCCCCCACTCTCACCAAAACCTCTTCTGGGCAGGAATCTTGCCTCTTGCCCAACCTCAGTACCCTCTCCACAGCCTTTTCCACCATCCATTGCTTCCCCTTTGGTGATCTCCTTCCCTAAAGCAATACAACCTTGTTGATCACATTGGGCAAAGCCCTCACTGTGAGCTCAGGCCAGGGCCAAGTCCTCTCCCATGATGGTTACCAGCATAGGATAGTTTTCTCTGCCACACAACCCCACAGGCTTTGGCATCAGGCTCTGCAAAGAAAGAAGAGACTCTCCTACAGGAACTGCTCTGCAACCCTTGATGGGGATTTCAAGCACCAAGCCCCGCAGTTCTGGAGCACATTGCCATGCTCTTACCTGGTACCCACATGAGAGAAGGCTCAGCAACATCCAGGGTACACAGCGGAGCAGGGGAGAGCTGAGCATGTGCCTCAGGTGCTGCCTGGCTGCAGGACAAAGGCCGGGATGAGGGACTCCACCTGCAGCCGATCATGAGCTGATGGGGTGGTGCTGGAGAGACGGGAGTCCTTTTCCCAAGGAAGCTTTCTTTATGGAGCTCCCTTTTATGTATCTGCACACACCGATCATGAAACACAACAGACAGGCTCAGTGGCTTGCTGAAAATAGGATTTTGCTGTATCTCAGCCTCGATAAATTAAAGGAAGGTCCCTCTGGATTTATTGTGTGCATGAATTAACTCGTGTTACCTCCAGCGCTGCTGATGGGCCCCTTCCTCAGGGCTTGTTTCACCTCAAACATCACTCCCACCATGCCAGTGCCCTGTGGGATGTCTCACGGTCCCTGTGTGGCCTCATGCCAGGCAGCAGCGAGAGGATCAGCAGGCACACCACGACCACAGCCACCACGGCCCTGGCACGCCAGAAGCAGCCAAGAGGGTGCAGAGAGCTGCGGTGCTTGCACCAGTTCCTTGTGCCACGGGCTGTGCTGCCCAGTGGCAGTTGCAGCACTGGGGTTTGAAGTCAGTGGGGACTTCGTGGTCCCTCTCTTGCCCCACTGAGGTAGCACTCACCACAGAAGTCCCCAGCGGGCAGGTCAGGATGCCCAGTGTGACACCAAACCAGCGTTAACACAGAAACACCCCACCTGTGTACTTCTGTATGCAAAGCTGCTGGCTGCCTCACCCCCTGCCCTCAAACAAGGTAAACCGGAGAATGGAGAGGTCGATTAAATCTGAAAAATGGGGGATTGTAGATGGGATCTTGGAAGGGACAACGTCATGGACCAAACCAGTCAGCTGTGTTTGTGTCCTTCTGAATAATGTCGATAACTGTATAATTACACCAGTAATGACTGTCACATCAATTACACAGCGTAGCTGATATTCAAGCAAAAGAAATGGTCTTCTGTAAAAAGACAGCTCTTCCCAACAGCCCCAGTGTTGGTTTGTTTTCTGCAGAAACTTGCAAACATTCTTGATTAGGTGCGGGGAAGAAATCTGTCTCTAAATTCAAAGAGTCGTAGCAGGGAGGATGCGCCCAGCCTCCCCCCGCAGCCCTGGAGCCAGGCTGGCTGCACAGGGGCACCAGGAGAGAGGCGTCTCTCCAGGTACTGGGGGACAAGGTGATGAATAGCTGCGTCTGCCGAGGAGTGACTGAGTAACACGGTTTCATTATGGAGTTGTATTACAATAATTAATAATAATAATAATAATAATAATACACTACTGATGCAGCAGAGATTAGTGAGATAAAATCTGCATCCTAATAAACGATGATATTATCTGCACCCAGATAAAATCTGCACCCCAATAAATGATTATATTATCTTCCTTTTTAAGTAGAAAGTGCTGTGAACCCTGTTTCAGATGGAGGACCTGCAGCACCACAGATCAAAGTGGTATGATTATTAATGCCACCTGATACAGCCACTGGCAGTCAAGAACGGACAGCGGATCTTGCATTGTGTGTCCCCTGGACTGGATACTGCGTGCTATGATAAAAACTAGTTTATTTTCTTAGTATATGCTGATACCTAATGCAGATATCCACAACGTGTTGCTGTACTCAATGCACAGTGAAAGGTTACTCTTCTATTTTGGGATCCTAGTAGACTAATTGAAAACTCAAACATTTTGTACATATTAATGTCTTTGCTTTGGCCATTATCACTCTGTATCAATAACAATCCTCTTTAATCCTTATCTTGTCATTGGCTAAAAGTAGAGCTGCCTCCAAGAAGGATTATATGATTTTTAAGGCCATCAAAGAGAGAAACTAGATACTTGTCCCCATCAGAGCACCCGTTTCATAAATCATTCAGGCCTGTTAGTTATCTGTGACTCTTACCTTTGCCGAGCACATGTATTTTTCATCAGCTTTGAATAATGACTGTCTGTAGGACTGGATGATGGGGATGTCTTGCTGCTCCAGCTGTTGGGCCTGCTTTGCAGAAATCAAGTTTTGAAGAGTCCCATTGCAAAGCACTGCCAGCATCGTGCATGCAAGTTAAACAGTGAATGGAATGTAAAAACCCACCAATACCAAGAAAGGAGGCATCACCAACTCCAGCTTAGAGCTTTAATTCTGTGTCTGTACCGTGTAAAAACCGCACTTACAGTAAGAGCAGCAACCTAATAACATTTTTATAAATTATTCATTCCTCTCTCTCTCTATACTGAACAGATTGCAAATTTGAAGCAATTATTATCTTCTAAATAGAGAACAGTAGTTGTTAAAGAACTCAATAATTACTGCGTGTTTGCACAATGATAATAACGACCCTAACCCATTAACACATACAAGCCGAACTGGGGTCTTTGGAGAAGGGGCTTAATCAGTGTTCAACATGCAGGAGGCAGTGCACCCTTCCAGCACTTGTTCTGACTAATATTCGGGGAATTTATGACTAAGTCCATCCATTCCTTTTAAATAAAAGCTAATGGTTGTTTTAAGACAGCAATGTGTCAGGGTCAGGTTTTTATTGAAAAGTATCCTGAGATAGTAAGTACCCAGGGAGTTTGGAAAGTATTGAAGTCCACTGAAATCTCCTCCTAAACGGTTCCAGTTAAATACTTCTTCTTGCTTTTCTTTTCTTCTTCAAAGTCAGATTTGCAACTGTTCTTCATGTAACATTTTTAAGTGTTAAAATAACTTACGTTCTCTATGTAAGATGGCTTCAAACTCCTCTAGCATGGGTATGAACGAGAGCAGGGATGATCAGGACAGTGCTCGTGCCTGGATCTGCGTAGCAATAACCCAAGACAGGCGTTTGGAGATTGCACAGTTGGGGCAGGGAGAGGTGTAGCCTTCTGCGAGCCCTCCTGTGGCATCTTGCTCTAGGATGAGGCTGAGTAACGCTGGTCCAGGATGCCGTGAAACAGCTCTAACCATCCTCGACCTCCTTGTGCCCCAACAGTGCTTTGGAGAAACCCCAACACTGTCTTCTGGCAGGTCTCACTGGGTTTCTGCAGCCAAAAGCGCTGGGAGCTTGTCAGAGTATTGATACCACAGATAAAACATTTGATAAAATCCCAGGAAAAATAGCAAAAATCATATTATGGTGTTACTGTTGGATGGGGAAGAAAAAGATATCTATCACCATCAAAGCTACTGCAGGGAAACAAGGCTCCAAGGACTGCACCACCAGTGCTGCCCAGTTCTGCTCCCCGTGCATTAATTCCCCTGCCCCAGATTTGGTTTTGTGTCTATGGGGGCTGCAGTTGGCCATGCTGGAGGGTCCCATGTGAGAGAAGGCTCTCCTACAATGGGCTGTTAAAGTTTGGCTAGTTTGAACTGTGAGTGTTGAAAAAAAAAAAATCCACCATAGCTTGATTTTAATGGGAAAATGGGCTGCCAAGCGATTGGGGAGGGAGGGTTACCATGGCCCCCTGTGATGTCTCTGGGTTCCTGATGCTGACCACAGCCCTGAGCACCTCCCGTCACCTCCAAACAGGTGGGACAAAGGCAGTTTTACTTTTTTTCCTTTTCCAAGCACGTTTTCCTTATGTTGCTTCGTATTTTTCTAAACAGGCGTTTGCTATGCTGAGTTTGGCGTGCGGGTCCCCAAGACCACAGGCTCTGCCTACACCTACAGCTACGTGACAGTGGGGGAGTTCGTAGCGTTCTTCATCGGCTGGAACCTCATCCTGGAGTACCTGATCGGCACGGCCGCGGGCGCCAGCGCCCTCAGCAGCATGTTCGACTCGCTGGCCAACCACACCATCAGCCGCTGGATGATCAACAGCGTCGGGACGTTGAACGGACTAGGTGTGTCGTGCCGTGCATAGCTACCTGCATTAATTAGGGCCTGAAAAGTAACTGGAAGCTCATCAGAAGTCAGACATGGATATTAGGCTTCATTCATTATTTACCATCCGTCTGCTTCTGGTACTTTGCGTCTGGTTCACAGGCGGGATTCGGGGGGATGGGATACACAATACTTTGAGCCCCGTTGGGATGAGCTGGCATTTAACAGAGTAAGTACAGTCCTGTTAAGGCACACGCAGAGCCTGGTTAAAGAGTACAAGCTTGTGTCTGCAGTGCTGCTGCGTAGAGATCCAGGGCTGTGATGGTCCTGTATGACCAGCAGTTCCAGCAACAGTCCATGGGTCCTACCAGGAGGTAAAACAGCTAGCTGTCCTGTACCTGTGCCATAAAAACTTAATGTTTGATTGATTTTTAATTGATGCTTGGTAGATACCTATTATGCAAACTGGGACCTGGTCATTTGTTTGCTGTCCTCCCCAAACTCCTAACAGGGTCTTGAGGCATCAAGATTTATCATCCTAATAAAACCATTTTTGCTAGTGGAGGCAAGGGCATCTGGAGACCACCTTTGCAATGACACCAAGGAGTTCTGCAAAGCTTCAGGGTCTGAAAAGTGTTTTAAAAAGCCCCCACAGAGTTTCTGGAGATGCTTTCCACAGCTGTGGATGGAGAGTTACGCACCTCTTTTCTCTTACCTAGGGAAAGGAGAGGAGTCATACCCTGACCTTCTTGCTCTGGTTATTGCTGTCATCGTCACCATCATCGTGGCCATGGGGGTGAAGAACTCAGTGGGGCTGAACAACGTGCTCAACGTCATTAACCTGGCAGTCTGGATCTTCATCATGATTGCCGGTCTCTTCTATGTCAAAGGTGACAACTGGTCTGAAGGGCAATTCCTGCCGTTTGGATGGCCAGGGGTAAGTCCTGGGTGCATGGAGAGACACGCAGCACCTGAGTGGTGACACCCACCTGCCACACGCTCAGCTTTGCTCGTGGTGTACGTACCCTACCTCCATCGCGCTCTCCAAATCCCAACCCTGCCAAACCCACCTGCACTTTGGCCAGGGACCTCCAAGTTCCACCGCTGCCAGCTTGGATCCAGATCTCCTTGCTCCACCAAACCCAAAGGGTGTAGGCGATGCTTTGCCCGTATCTCCAGCCACCTCTTAGAATAAACCCAGAACTTTTCCAAAATGTCCTCCCGGAGAGCCAAACTCCACATGAAAATATACACCAGGAAATGCTGCTAATTGCCAGGCAATGGAGCAAACAGCAGTGGCTGTCCGAGGCAGGGCACTTGGGAGGGGCTGGCTCAGCCTCTGCGGAGGGGGAAATACTTGTGTTGGCTGGTTTTCAACAACAATGTTCTCAAGCATTTGTTTTGAGCACTTCATAATGCCACCTGCCAGTACTTATTTTATGGATGTTCCCTCAAAGCTTACTGAGAATTTGGACATATTTGGCTTTTTTAGATTGCTTGCACTGGTTGTTATCCAAGGATGAACAGAGACTGAAAATATCTCAGCTGGCCTAAACCCAAGATAATTTCTCAGATTTACATTGCTCGACTCCATCGGGGTTTTGTGCAGAAAAATAAGCAAGAAAGTAAAGTAAACCAAGGGTCTTGATTATTGAAAGGGTCCCAAGCTGCCATAGAGTGCCTGCACCTCCCTTCAGTAAATCAATACCTCTCTGTCAGAGAACAACAGTGAGAAGAGCACTGAGGCCCATTTGAGAGGAGAGGTCATGTTTACCTTTGGATTGTGCTTGGCTTTTTATGCTGTACAATAGGAAATAAACAGAGAAAATAGAAAATAGCTGTTCTGCTCCAATTCAACTCACCAAATATCTCCCGGCAAAACCCCATAGTTTTAAAAGATACATATCCAAAACACACCAAAACCGATAGGGTCTTCCCGTCATTTTCAGCTGGTTGGTTGTCTCCCAAATTGTTTGCAAAAGTAAATCCAGCACAGGACAATCATGACAGGAGTATAGCAGATCCTTAAAAAAGGTAATTACAGGTAGTCCCCTGAAAAAGGTGAGTTTTGCTGTGTGCTCAGCTGAGATGACAGAGATGTGACGGACGTGATACCCAGCTATCTAGCTAGATGTATGCGAGAGCTTCACAACTGCAAATTAGCTCACTCGGAGCCACGCTGTCTTTAGCCTGCTTCAGCGTTTCATTCCCATAAATGTCCTTGTTAATATTGTATATTTTTTAAAAATCACATTAAAAAAAAAACCTAAACAGTACAAATAACTCCTCATCCAAGTGCTCCAACATGTGCTCCTAACCTGTCTGCAGCTTCCAAGCAAAACAGAGGTTGTTTGGAAAGCGGCACACATCTGACTGTTGCTGCTCTCTCCTGCTTCCTCTGCTAGCGGATCTTGCTGCCACATGAGACAGCTTGCTAAGATGGAACGTGTAAACATGCTCCAGATCCCTACTAATATAAATGGATTTGGGGTGGAGGGTTGTGAAAGCAAACCTGAATTTGGTTAATGGTGTCCTCTGCCACTGCCAGGATCTGCCAGCGCATTCGGCACAGGTTTGTGGTGCACCCTGAGTGAGATGCAGATGCCTTCACTGACTCGAGCAGCACACTGAAATCTTTTCCCTAGACCAGATCACTGGATTATGGGTGCTCCCAGGGTCAGTCCAGTGTGTGCACACCCTGACCTGCCCCCACTCATTCTTTAGCTCAGACAAGGCAGAACTGGGCTCCTCCAGTTTTGCTCAGTTCCCTCTCCCTGGTTGGGTGCCAGCCTCCCTCCTGGCACTCAGGTACTCCATCCTCCTCGCAGGTGCTCAAAGGGGCTGCGACGTGTTTCTATGCCTTCATCGGATTTGACATCATTGCTACCACGGGAGAAGAAGCAAAGAGTCCCAACACCTCCATCCCCTACGCCATCACAGCCTCGCTCGTCACGTGCTTGACAGCATATGTGTCCGTAAGTACTGGCTATACATATGTAAATGTACATAAATATATATGTATGTGCATATGGACATATAGCATGTCCCTTCTGGGCATCCGCACGGCTCCCCTCCCTGTGAGCAGCGGTGTCAGTCTGACCCTCGGACAAGGGCCCTTTCTTTGGTGGGGACTGAGACATCAGCTGTATTTCTGTGTGACTGTGGTGTCCCCAGGCTTGTCCCCTGGTTTGTCCCCAGGCTCCTGTCACCTTGCCGAGATCCCTCTGCCAGCTGCAGGGAGATGGTGGCAGCTGTTTTTTTCCTCATGCCTCATCCCCATCCGTGGCTATTTTTGCATCCAGAAGTGCAGCAAAGTGGAAGGAGCAATAGCATTGCAGCAACGTTTCTTCATGTTTTTGGGAAAAGCAGCAATGACTCTGCTGGAGATATGGGAGAGGGTCCAAGTGAGGGTGAGGATGGGTGGGGATGGCTATGCAAGAGGTATCCAGCTGCTCTGCATCCAGTAAATTCATGTCTGTACTCAGAGATTTTTGCTGTAAAAGGATAAAACTGAATCACAAAGGAGAAAAAAATATTCTGATTGTTTCAAAAAGACTCACCCACTGCCTCTCCTGCAGCATGGGGAGACAATTTCTCTTTGGCTCAAATAGGATCAGAATGTTGCCCCAGGCAATGCCATCTTGGGTTTTGGGTCTTTTCCATGGGGAGTGCTGACTCAGGCAGTGCTGTCCCCGCACAGGAACTGCCTGGTGTGTTATTAACCCCACCGAGTCCCACCAGCCTCCTGCACCACTGCAGCAAGGTTCGAGGTGTCACCTTCTTGCCTTCGGAGGCCTTACCTCTAGCATTTTATATCCCCTCCACAGGGGACATAGGGATATAATCCCAATCAGACTTGAAATTTTTTGCCTTTCCACCCTTTAGAAACAGCTACCACACCCTGCGAGTTCCCAGCTGACACCCATGTCCTGTTCCTCTTGCCTTCCCCAGGTGAGCATCATTCTCACGCTGATGGTGCCCTACGATGCCATCGACACCGAGTCCCCACTGATGGAAATGTTTGTGGCTCATGGCTTCTATGCAGCCAAGTTCATCGTTGCCATCGGGTCTGTAGCCGGCCTGACCGTCAGCTTGCTGGGCTCCCTCTTCCCAATGCCAAGAGTCATTTATGCCATGGCTGGTGACGGGCTGCTCTTCAGGTCAGTCATGCCTGTGCTGACACTTTTTTTTTTTTCTCCCTTGGGACCCAGAGGGGAAGTGTGCTGGGAGGGATGGGGACTGTCCCACACCCTGAGAGCCTGGTGCCATCACTGCAGGGCCCAGGAGGCATGCACAGACTCAGTGCTGGCAGAATGGGGCACACACCAAGGCCAAAGCCTGGGGGAAAGAAGTCGGGAGAGATCTATGCAAAAGTTTCTCATTTGATGCTGGTATTTAGAGATTCAGCTTATGGGAGGATGAGCGTTTAATTCAAGAGTTACTTGCAAAAGAGAGAAGTTTATATGCACAAAATATTGGCACTTATTTGCATGTGTCCCAGTGCCCATTTCAGAGCTGGTTAGACCTAGATCTAACTCCAGATCCAGTCTCAGCGGTATTTCCATTCCCCCGGTGTCTGGAGTCTAAGCACCAAAAAACTACAAGACCTGAAGGGATCGCATGTCTGAGCCCAGCCTCTCCAGCCAAGTAAGAGTTATTGCAAAGGGAACTCCTGTCATCTGCAATTTTAACCTTCTGCAACCGTTTCACACTCCAGATTTTTGTCCCACATCAGTTCTTACACGGAAACTCCCGTAGTGGCTTGTATCGTCTCCGGATTCCTCGCAGCACTGCTCTCCTTGCTGGTCAGCCTGCGGGACCTGATAGAAATGATGTCCATCGGCACGCTGCTCGCCTACACCCTGGTCTCTGTCTGCGTCCTGCTCCTCCGATACCAGCCTGAGAGTGACATTGATGGCTTCGTCAAATTCCTCTCTGAAGAGCACACCAAGAAGAAGGAAGGCATCCTGGCTGACTGCGAGAAGGAAGCTTGCTCCCCAGGGAGCGAGGGAGAAGAGTTCACTGGCCCACCGACCAACACATGCGGGGCAAAAAATCTGCCATCGCTGGGGGATAATGAGATGCTAATTGGTAAATCTGATAAATCCACCTACAATGTGAATCACCCCAACTACGGCACGGTCGACATGACCTCAGGGATAGAGGCAGATGAGTCAGAGAACATTTACCTCATTAAGCTGAAGAAGTTGATTGGCCCTCGATACTACACAATGAGGATCCACCTCGGACTGCCAGGGAAAATGGACCGCCCCACGGTAGCCACTGGCCACACAGTCACCACCTGCGTGATCCTCCTCTTCGTCCTCATGTTCATCTTCTGCTCCTTCATCATTTTCGGGGCAGACTACATCTACGAGCAGAGCTGGTGGGCTGTCCTCCTCGTTGTGCTGATGATCCTGCTCATTGTCGTGCTGGTGTTTGTGATCTTGCAGCAGCCAGAAAACCCCAAGAAGCTGCCCTACATGGCACCTTGTCTCCCCTTTGTCCCTGCCTTTGCTATGCTGGTGAACATCTATCTCATGCTGAAGCTCTCCACAGTCACGTGGATCCGATTTGCCGTCTGGTGTTTTGTGGGTGAGTCCCAGATTCATTTATTTTCATTTTTTAACTGACAGTCTTTTGAAAGGATGTTAATAATAACTTCCCTAATTAGAGTGCTTAGGCTCATCCTTCTTCAGCTGGGACATACCCAGTCCTTTACATTTGCCCCTTGTCAACCTGAAGTTCTTAGAAACCTCGGTTAATCAAGCCCCCGAACCACAGCTAAATGGAAAATTACACCTCCAGAAAACGTCAGTTTGAAGGAAGTAAACTGCTCCATGCAAAGGTGACTGTTTTGATGAGTCCTTTGATGTAAAGTAGGTGGGTTCTGGAAATTGCCTGGCAGGCAGGTTTCCTACAGAAATCTGCCTGCTTTCTTGCTATTTCACCCACTTGAGCTCTTCAGCAGCCCACACCAAAATTTCAGCACTGCATTTCCAAAGCCCAGAGCTGCCCAACCCCAAAAGCTCTGGGAGAGACAGACTCAAGGGACCTGTGGACTATAACTCCTTTTCTTGGTCTAAGTCCTTAACTTCATGGCACGGGGATCTCCAGACTCACAGGCTCTGTTGCAGACCATTTTTTACCAAACTTAGGCTCCCTGTCACATAGCCAGGACTCTGGCATGTCCATAGTTTCCCTTGTTTTACCTTACTAAGAAACCCACTTACTCCACAAACCCAAGAGAAAAAGAGTTGCTCTCATAGCTCCTCCTAAAGGCTCCTAAGTCTGGACTATAGAAAATTGAAACAGCAAGTCAGTATCAAAGCCAAGGATACTCTACAGAGGAATAATAACCCTATGGGTAAACATATATCTTGTAGGAGCCCCAGACAACAGACTGTGAGCTTGGTGCCAGCACCCAAAAAGATCATCCCTGGTTGACTATCCACCAGCAGCCCTCCCCTTTGGGAGCAGGGTTCAGGGTCCATGACTGAGAGGGGGAAAGTGGTGAGGAAAGAGAATGAGGATTGATGCAAAGGTCATAATCAGCTGCCACCTCCTGTAAAGGCAGGAATCACCGTTGGAGTGGTGGGGGGACAGGCACAGGCCACCACACTGGGCTCACCAGCCTTTGTGCCTTTCTTAAATGCCTCCTGGCATTTGTAGATGTATGAGCTCAGTTGGTAGAGCCAGGAGATGACACAAACAGACCTTGGATCTCCCTCAGGTGTTAAAGTTTAGGGTAGTCTCATGGTTTGAACCCTCTGGGGAGAGGCTGCTACCATGTTTTTGGTCCATTTTGCCATCCCCTCTTTTGCTTCGGGGGGAGGACTGCAGTTATCCTGAGTCAGTCCTGCATGACTGAGGTGCCACAGCAAAGCTCCATCTCTGAGAATCCCCTAACCTCAAGCTGAGCTGTTGGGCAGTAGTTGCCACATGCACTCTTTGGGCTGGAGAAGACATGCTCAGGGCTCTTTTGGCCCTCAAACGCAGTAAGTGAATGTGCAAATCCAGGGCAAACCCTTCTACCTGGAAGCAAAGATGACTCCAAAGCATCAGTTTAATCTGCTGTGATTAAATGCTTTCCCCTGTGGGTACCTCTAATACCTCTTCAGCTGTCAGCAATGGCAACAAGTCAATTAAGCCACTCCATTAAGGTGTGACGGACTCCACCAGCCCCATCCATGGCTGCTTGCCTGTTGTGGGAGGCACATCCCATTTGTTTTGCTGGCAGAGATGTGCAAGCCTGCCACACAGACTCTGGATTTAACCTCACAAGCAGTCCCCCGTGGCCAGTCCCCAGCATATGGAGAAGTCTGAGTTTCTCTACACACACGTCTGGGGTAGGTTAATCCCAGGATCCCCTGGAAATTACATCCCCAGATACATTTGCTTCTGGGGAAAATATTGGTGCAGGAAGGTGAGATCAGGTAGGGCTAGGGGAGAAGATGAAATGAAACTCCTGAGGGGAGGATGACAGGATTTCATGTCTGTTTTAATACCAAATACATTCATCCTGTCAACCCTAGGGCACACACGGCTGTGAGCACCAGCAGGAAAGACTGAGAGCATGAGAAAACTCCAGAGAGAAGAGAGTAGCCAGGAGGGTAACAGGGTGAAGATGTGAGTTGTTGGCACTTGGGAGCCTCCACACGTCTGCTGGGAACTGCTGTCCCACCAGAGCTGCAGATGGCACAGTCACGTGGCCAGCAGCCATCCCAGCTGATGTTTAAAACATACAGCCCTCGGGTCACATCTGGCAGCCCGACAAACTCAACAGCTTCAAAGAGCAGACATTGACTACAACATACACTAGCTTCAAAAATACAGGCGTATTTACTTATGCCTAACCCATATCAGCTGAAGCCAGCCCAGTACTGAGTGAGAGGAGGCTGGCGGTGAGCCGGAATGCATCCCCGACCCACCCCGACGTGGGTTTTGGGGGACAGGTGCCATTTTGGATGTTTTAACCTGGGGCACGGGGCCAGTGCAAGTGGCTGGGGTCCAACCCTCTCCCTTTTGCCTGCTGCAGGTCTGCTCATCTACTTTGGCTATGGGATGTGGAACAGCACGCTGGAGATCAGTGCCCGGGAGGAGGCCCTCCACCAGAGCACCTACCAGCGCTACGATGTGGACGTTGACCCCTTCTCCATGGACGACAGCTTCTCCTATGCCACTGAGGGTGAGGGCTACCCGGGCTGGGGTCCCTCCGAGGACAAGGGCTTCTCATACCAGCAAATGGCAGAAGCAAAGGAAAGCCATCGGACGAGTAGCAGGTCGAAAAGCAAAGGCAGGCACAAACCGCCGTCGGAGGCTCTCATCGCCAACGACGAGTTGGACTACTCACCCGAGTAGCAGGGTGGACAGCGGGGCGCCGCGCTGACCAGCCGATGAGGAAGGGTCCCCGTGGCTCCCCCATCCTGTCCCATCCTCCCCGGGTCCTCCACCACCACCCCGCTCACCTCTGGTCCTCGGGACACGCTCTGCGATTGCCGTTGACCCTGAACCAAACGCACTCGTGGCCCGTCCCAGCTCCACCGGTCGGGTCTCGCTCTGGTGAAGGCTGGCTGATCCCCCGGAACCGGCTGATCTCCTGGCACCAGCTGCACTGGTGGAGGCGGTGGAGTGGGAGATGTGCCAAACTGGGAGGGCGTTGAGAGGTGGAAGGAGCCACATGAGGGCAGACAAGACTACTTGTCCCTGGGGAACATCCACCTGATGGCCGCAGCAGTGGGATGCCACTCTTACATTTCTGGCACTTTCTTAGCACGTGTGTTTTTTTCTTTGAACCACCTAGAAGTAATTGCTGAGCCAGAGGGACAGGCAATGGAGATGGACAAACTCCTTTCAAGAGATTAGCTCAGAGGTGGATCCAGGGATGTTGGCCCCATCACACAGAGTTTCCCTGGCCCTTTCTGGCACAAAGGCACCCGGCGCACACAGCTGTACTACCCCTGTGTCCATGCCCACACCCCACGTCCAAGCAGCCCAAATTCAAAATTATTCTGTGTCTCAATCAAACATTGAAGTCCCAGCATGGCCAAACATTCTAAATCTGTAGTTGGGAACCTGGTCCCATTTCTGGTCACAGCGAGGGCTGTGACCCACTCTTGGCTCAACCCACCTTGTACGAATGGTCAGCAAGGCCCACACACCATTTCTCTGAGCATCCCTCGTCAGAGGCTGGGAGCTCTTTCCACCGCGTTTTGTCTCTTACAAAAATGACTGCGCCATAATTCCTCCCTGTGGTGGGCACATTTCAGTGCTCGCTCTGGCCTCAGTGCTTCAGGAATGCATCCGTGCCCCGGCAAAATAGCAATGTCCGTGGGTCAGCCGCATCTTGGCAGGGCTGGGCAAGCGGAGAGGACTGAGCTGCTGAAATACCCCTGCTGCCATCTCCACCTTGTACCATTTTCCCTGTTTCTGATCCTGGCTTGGTGATGCTGTATGAAAAAACACTGAAAAGCTGCTCATGCTGTAGGTGAACGTGTTTCACTTTGAAACCAAACAGAGCTGGTGGCTCGCGTGGCAGAGGTGGTCAGCAGGTGGATGTTTCTCATAGTTAAATCCTCCAGTACAGCCCGAGCATGGCCATGACCCCCAGCAGTGCCATCAGGTTCCCTGCCCCAGTGTCAGCGGTGATGGGTTTGGTCGCAGCCTCCGTCTCCCCCAGCACAGACAGCAGCTGCACTGCTGAGTCAGCGATTAGCAGCTCGTCCAGTTCTGGAGCCCATCGCCAACGTGCTTAGTTTAAAACACTGCAGTGGAGGAACACCTTTTTTGAAAAAATGATAACCAAGGAGGCACCCCATCAGACAGTGACACTCATCCTCCTCCCGGCTACCGAAGGCTGCGGATGGATCCAACCCCAGGGCTCCCCTGGAGCTGCCCAGACCAATCCCCAGTACCAGGGGCTGCTGCTGGCATCCCAGGGTATAATTTAACATTGACGGTGGCATGAGTCAGGATTTCCAATATGTGATGCTGGGAACTATTAACACTTTGGTTCACTGGATGAGGCTCAGCGCCCTGAAACGCAGTGCAGAGCCTGCCTGGCACCCTCTGTGGGTGAGTGGGCTGCTGGGTGTAGAGGGTGCCTGGACCCATCCCCATCACTCCTGGGGCTCACGGGCTCGATGGAGAGGCTCTTCCATGGCTGCAAAAATTTCTCTGCAGCTCCTGTCCCAAACAGTCACAAACTACAGTCCTTTTCCCAGTGGAGAAGAGCATCCAGTTCTGCATATCTGAACCCAGAGTGCCCCAGGCAAGCCAAGGGAAGTTTGGCCTCTGCAAGAGCTTCAGGATGGGAGCGAGGATTTGGCAGAAGGATCCGTAAGCTTTGCTCTGGCATCTCCTCATGCTGCCCACCCTTACCATGCTTCTACAAACAAAAACCCCAAGTGTGTCCCAAGGAAAAGCTGTTTGCAATGTGCACACCGTTCACAGGCCAGCTCGGGAAACCTTTCCAGCAGTGCTGAGCTCCTCTTGCAAAGGTCACCTCTCACTCACGCTTGGCTGTTCTCATCCTTGATGCCTTAGAAGTACCCAGGAGAGATGGCACCTCGCAGGTCTGGCTTTACATTTTCAGGGAGAAAGATTGATGCTATTTTCCTACCAGCTCTTGTACTGTACCATATCCAAGGTAGTCATCTTCGTCCTGCTTCCGCATGGTATTTAGGCATCTGCCGAATCACAAACTCATGCCCAAGTACCCTGTTGAATCAAAGCCTGTTATTCTTTTTGCAGCCTTAATCTCTTGCTACAGAGCAGTTACCAGTACCAGTGTCTGTTGTCATGTCCGCTCTAGTTATGCTGTATAATTTGACGAGGGCTTGATCCCTTACTCTTTGGTGTCTTTAGGAACCTCTCCATTGGATCCATGCACTGAGTGAAGCCCTTCGGCTGCTCTTGTTCATGTTCACCCATCCTCCTTCCCCTTCCCAGGGAAGCGCTGGGGCAGGATGGTCACACCACGTCCCCAGGACTGCCGGGAGACGGCATTTGATGCCACAGCACCGTCTGGTGTGGATGGGCTGCCGCCAGCCCTCACCGTGTCGGGGGGTAGGAGCTGTACCCTCCTCCCTAGCCCACCACATCCCACCTAACAGAGGGCTGCAAAGAGAAGGCAGCCGAGCCACAGGCTGGGTCTTGCTTGGGTTTGCCAGCGGCCAAGCAGATGTTGGTTGCCCAGGGAGGCCGGTTTGCAGCAGGGTCCCCCCACCCTGCTCTGGGAAGCAGTGCCCGGGGGACACACGGGTCCTGCCGCCGTTTGGGAGCTCACGTGCTTTCCCTTGTAGCAGGCATTGGGGTCTTCAGCGGGCACAAGCAAAAGCTGCAAAGGCCCAAATGTTCGGGTGTGTCCATCGCCTCTGGGCACCGCTGGCCCCAGGAGCAGTCCCGGATGCAAGTGCTTGTTTTCCTGAAACCCCCAAAATCCAGCCTTTCCCCCTCAGGGAGGTTCTCACACCCCTGACCCATCAGGAGGACACAGGCAGAGCGGTACCACCCTGGTCCCACCACTGCCCTCCACAGGGCACACACCCCAGGGGGCCCAGCGCATGATATGGACGGAGCATAAATACCTCAAATCTTCCAAAACGACTCTATAAGATCTCAGTCACCCCACAAATCCACTCTTCATGGTTGCGACCACTCAGTTACGAGGCCCAGCACACCGGCATCCTCCACATGGCAGAGAAATCACGCCCCAAAAGACATGGGATGTTGTAAATGATCTTCACTTCGTTTTGTTCGGTCTTTCTGATGTATATCTTGCTTTTTTGGCAGATGGTACTTTCTGGTGTAACAATTCTCTGCAGTTCTGGTATGAAATTGATGTATTTGTTAAAAAAAGTTTGTTCTACTGATTTTTTTTTTTTTGTGGTTTCCAAAAGCCCATTGGTGCATTGTACAATGGGATCTTGTAGCGTGTCATAAGAAAGAAAAAAAATATGCAGATGTGTTATGGGGTGATTTTTATTTTCAAATGATTGTGTTGTTGACAACTATATATATAATATATATATTACCAAGATACTAAGAAAAAAAAATCTAAATTTACCAAAATCTGTATATTTTAATAAATGCATAAAGCTTTATTGTGTGCCTTTACATTTAAAAATCAAACAGGAACTAAGGGATTTGTAAAGAGAGAGACAAATGTGTCTTAGTATCAGTTTCCATAGTAATGTAAATCTTTGAAATGAAAGACTAAACTGAAAAAATAAAAAAAAGAAATCCCACATAAATTTTGTTAAGCCAACCAGTACCTGAAGGTCTGATACTTTTTCAATGCTAAATTGAAGCTAGAGATGAACAAATCTTGCCTTAAGTGCTTCAAAATTTCCTTTGTAGAAGATCTATTTCAATGGGCTGACTTTGGTATTTACTTGAACTGTTGTGAAAAAAAAAAAAAAGGTTATCAGTTTACACAATAAAAAAAAAAAAAAGAAAAAGAAAAAACCTAAAGCCAATGACCGCAGGTTGACTATTGCAGTGTGAAGCCCCAGGAAGCACCAACATCCTCCTGCCTGCTCATGGGGCTGCTGGCACCCAACTTTCCCCTGGGTAATGGGTGTCACGGCACCATCAACCCCCTCGCACAGGCACTGGGGCCACAGGGAGGCAAGTATTGCTCTCAGAGCCACTGCTGCCTCTCCCCTTCGGGGTGCTGAGGGCCACCAGCGTCCCCCGATGGGGTCCCTCCTGTTTTTTTGGGGAATTGGGAGGCTGCCAGGCACGTTCCCCGTGACAGGGAGCTGTAGCTGGTCCTGGTGGAGCTGGGGAGGGCTCTGCCGGGGCATCGGGGACTACCACCTCCACGCCAGGGTGACCACCAGAGCTCGCACCCACCACTCCACAGCTGCTGTTAGGCACGGCCTGGAGCAGTTTTTCCATTCAGAAGAATTATATTTGACTCTATTTTGAGGCTTTGGGACAGCAAACGAGCACCAGAAGCCTTCAAGAGCCAACAGCACCGCGGCCAACCCAGCCCAGGAGAACCCCACGGGGGAGTGGGGGGAGCAGAGTGCTTTGGGAGGGCAAAAGCTGGTATTTCAGTTTTGATCCTTTAAAAAGTAGGTAAGTTTAATGTCCTTTGTGCTCCCTCCAAACACTTCCCCTCTGCGGTGCCAGCACTAATATCCTGTCCCATCCCTGGCCCCATCTCCTTTCGCTCCAAGTTGCAGATGTCTGTTTTTGCCGCGGCTGCTCCAGGGTTGTTTTGCTTTGTTTTTTAATTCTCTTCCCTGAAATAAAGCTTCTTCCTTCCTCTGATTAGTTTGCCCAGGGCCTTTTAAGGGTTGGATTTGGGATTGGCCACTGGTAACCGGTGACCATGGGCAGAGCGGGCCGAGCAAGCAGAACCCCAGCACCAGCCCCTGCCAAGGGTGCCCAGCCCCACGTGCCTGACGGCGCCAAGATGCAGATCAAGAGTGTGGGCACCAAAAAAAACCCGTAATTGCTGCCTGGAAGGACTCGTTCTCCATCGGGTCATGCACTGCTGCCTGGGACCCCCCAGCAGCACCAACACCTTGCCAAAAAAAACCCCTCAGGCATCTCAGTCAGGTTTTCCTGTGCTTTTCCCTCCCAGTCTGCTCCAGGGCCATTTGCAGGGCAGTGTTCCAGCAGCTTTCTGCTCTGAGGTCTCCCACGCCGCCGTCGGTCCCGGGGTTAACCAGCAGAACCGCTGCTCAGCTAAAGCCACGGGCAGCACAATCCACAATCCCCGGGCAGCCTGCACAAGCTGGCACGTCTGTGCGCCACCCCTTCGCCCGTGGCACCCGCACATCAATGGCAGCACTTATAGCGTCTCTCCAGCGCGTACAACAACTGCCTGTGCCCTGCCTGTGATGTAATGGGCACAAGTGTCCTGCCGCCGGCCCCGCGCCGCTGCCCGCCTCGGGTGCATTGTCTGGGACAGCACCGACACACAGTTCACACAACAGAGACGCGTTCAAGACCGCGCGGTATTAAGGGCAGTTGCTAGGGCTGCTGCCCATCTCTTGTCCGTGCAAAGGGTGGTTGTACAGCCGTCCTCCTTCTGACTCCTTTTAAATGCTCTGGCCTCAGCTTCCCATAGGGAGGAGGCGAGGGGTGTGACCTGCAGCATCCTTGCCCACGGCTGTGTCACCCAGTTTGGATTCTCCTGCTGAAGTAGACCAAGATGTAAGGACAGTCCCCAATCTGCCGAGGCTTGACTAGCAGCAGCCTTGTTTTCAAATTCTTCTCCATCATCCCAAAAAATCTGGTTGGTTCTCTTCTCTGCTTGCTCAGTCCCCTCTCCTCCTACACAAACACAAACACCTGGGCTCTTTCCCTCAGTCGTGCCTGAAAAGCATCTATTCCTCTTTCCTTGTTCCTGAAGCCTGGCTTACACAAATTATTTGAACTCAGCTAACATCTCCGGGAACAGATGGGATTTTGAATCAACATAATTAAATTGCTACAGCCTCTGGTAAGGACAGAGTTAGATCTTGATCTTATACGGTTTTTAATCAGAGCGATGACCCTGGATCAGACTAATATTTTAGCAGAGAGCACTTCCAGCACCATGACTTCTCAACTTCAGCACGCCCAGGCAGTGCTGGGGGTACGTCTCCACAGTCTCAGTGTGTTCCTAAGCCTCCCCGACGTGCAGAGTACCGTGAGTCGGTACCACTGCAGCAAGCTGCTATCAGCAACATTGAAAGAACAAATGGATAAAACAGCAGTCAGTACCATGCAGGAAGATTAATCATATTTTAAATATTCTCAAAAAACCACAAAAGGCCCACTTAATTCTACAGCAGAGCAGAATCTCTCATCCTGAATTGCTGTAATAAATAATATCTTCAAAATCACTGGGAAACCTCTGTCATGGAAAAGCTAGCTATGGAAACACAGGGGAAGGAAGGAATGAAAAAAAAGAAGCCAACGGTTGCAGGTACTGTTATTTATTGTACAGTATTTCACTGAAAGTACAAAGGCATCATCAGTATTCACCAGAATTGTATCGTAACAGGTATGTTATACTGAGTGTTAAAATGTGCTACTTTAACGATGCAAGACAGAACACAAATTTAGAGGAAGAAAGCAAGGATTTAAAAAAAATGTAAAAATACATTTTTAGTAACTGACCTGTACAAAGGAAAACAAAACAAACCAAAAGAGAGTGCGGGGATTAGAGCCCCCAAAGTCACTTTAAAATATATAAAAAGGCACTGTTATCTACCATGTAATTAGGACCCTTTGCTTCTGTTTCCTTCATACTGATGACTGGGGCGGGGTGGGGGAAATACTGTTACTAAAATGATCAGACCCATACAAAAGTATTTACAGAGAAAGGCAGAAAAAAATTCCCCTGCTCTTGTTCCAAAAGAGAAACATTTGCCCGCTGGGAGAGCACAGCCTTCGTCCCTACCCTCTTGCCCAAACCATGCCAAAGCAGTGACCTTGAGCAGGGGAAAGCAAACAGTGACATGGTGGGAGAAGCTATCAAAGTCCTTCTATCAACGGGAAAGTGTCTCTCTCATTTCTTTTTTATTGCTTTAAACTCTCCTATAATCAGGGGAGCATGGAAAATAAAATAAAAACCCTAAAACCCACATGACAGCCCCAATCCATCTGAGTCATCCTGGCTGCAAGAAGATGGGGCAGGTGGATGGGACAAAATGGGAAGGACCAAGAGGTAGGGCTGGCTGGAGCTTTCTTTTCTAGAGAAGAGGGGAACAGATGGGGAAAATAATGCTTCAAACTACCAGACAGTTGTGCTGCTTTTCTAAATCTTCCCCTGGGAGCCTGACAGCAGTGTGTGTCAGTAGAAGCAAACCCAGGGCACACAAACCCACCAGCCAAAGCATCCGACGGCAGCCGTGGGACATCCCCAGGACCTTACACGTGAGCGCTCTTCGCGTGGGTAGGGGAGCTGGATCCCGAGGCATAGTAGAAACGGTTTTCACCAAATGTCTGGGCATCTCCCGAGCAGCAGACGATGACGCAGCCGCCGAAGAGGCAGAGGGCAGAGCCGATCCAGCCGGTGTACAGGGAGTAGCCGAAGCTCATAATGGTGGTCTCACGGTGGGCGCACACGGGAAACCAGATGGTTGCAACGACACCGCACATGGCTGGGGAGAGATGGAAAGGAAAGGTAAGTCCAGCATGCAGCCCCACTGCGGGGACACAAAGCATGCCAACGGAGAGAGAAGGCTCTGCAGGATGGGGAACAGAGAGGAAACCCATTCCTCCTCTCTTGCAGTCCCACGGTGGGACCCGGGAGCATCAGCATCAGGGCTTGGTCCAAGAGATCTCTGAGCAGGAGGCAGCGTGGGAGCCTCGTGGGGGGAGAGATCAAAAGAGAACAGCCATCTCTCGCAGGCACCAACAAACAAGAAGAAAAACCAACTGCTGCTTGACACAATCTGACATATTTATTACAAGGAAAATAAATTTGTTCCCTAGAAATATCTTTAAGGGGGAAGAATGAAAATCATCCCTGAAATTGATGCTCTGGAGAGCTGCAGAATTAGGAATAGATTAGATATGAAGCAAGAGCATGAAAGCCATAGGCATTGGTGAGACAGTAAAATCGGTGGCCCAGAGTCAACTGCTTTAAATCACAATTTCTGCATGAACTCTCATGCTACGTCCTCAGCCCACATCAGTCAGCATCACTGCAGTTGCTCTACTTGAGTGGTTCTATAAACATTAACAAAATATCCCAGCACTTAGCAAGACAGAGTTGGGTTCATAAAAGAGAAGCAGAAAAGGGGCAAGGACAAAATAAGCAGCGCTACGTCATTGTTGGTTTGGTTGGGTTTTTTTTTTTATGGAGAAGGAAATGTCTCACAACTCTGGAAAGCAGATTCCACTTCCCTATGGAAAATTTCTGTGTGTCAGGTGATGTGGACAAACCCAGCCGACGCTCTCCAGAAACCTACTGAATGGAATAGAAAGGGGACTGTATCTGAAAGGAAAACAGTCTTTTACCTAGAGTCTACAGTGTGTCAAAATATGACCGAGGGCTTAAAATTTTGCTGGAAATTCCATAGTTTCTGTCCATGAAAAGCAGGAGGGCTGCGGCAGTGGTGCTGTGAGGGCTGCTAGGCAGTTGGCATGTGAAGTAGATACCCTCAGGACAGTAAAGTGGGTTCAAATTCAGCACTTTGCAGGCAGCCAGGCTAGGGGGACCACAGTGTTTTCAGCGTGCAGCGCACACACACCGTTTGCTCCAAGCACACACGCATGGTTTACTCCAAGCAGGGAGAAAACACGTGCCCTGCACTCTACTTGTGCTACACAAGGTCACACTCGCTACCCTCGCTAAGGGTCCTACCTCCATCCCCCAAAGTCCCCACATGCACCGAGGGCAACAGGAGTTGGTGGTGTTAATCACCTCACAGGAGCAGGTCCTAAAACAATACTCCTTTATGGCCTGTACATCTGAGAAGAATTAATCTGTCAATATTTACTTGCCTCTAGGACAAGCTGTGCACGACTCCATCCTTGTGGCTATCAGAGAATCAGAGCAAAACAATAACAGGACCGTGGCAGCATTACAGATTTCCACCGACCGTGTTAAAAGGTATCTGGAGGCAGTGTCAAGAAGTTAAGGTTGCAAGAGGGAAAAAAAAGGGGGTGAGATTAAAAATAAGATTGTTTAGTTAAAGTGAAGAACAAACCATAGCTCCTGGCCAGTATAGCAGAAAACCCATCCCCAATAGCTGCAGTTATTGTGAGAGAAAATATTTTCTTATGGAAAAGAGAAGAACATTTGAAGGATGCTAATAAAGCCAGTAATAATTTTGGGTCTCCTCAAAGCAAGGGCCCTGCGGCTTTGGAAGGGATTTTTGCAGAAGGCAGGGAGGGGAGAACAGCATTTCTCCTGCGTGTGGATCAGTCCTGCAAACAGCTCGTGAGCCCCCAGTGCTTTAAAACAAAAATGTATCAGTTGGGAATCCGCAAAGCATTCTAATGGGCTCCAGATAAAAAGCTTCTTTGTTCTCCAAAAAGACACAATCATCTTTTCTTTTTCTGTCAGCAGTAAATATATATATATATATATTTATGTCCATAGACTATAAGACCCTTATCTATCCAGACCCTCCCCCACAACACAGGGCCAAAGAAAACACTTGCACTGGGGTGAGAAAAGCTCTCAGGGACATTGACACAATGGCATCTCTTGTGCATGTGGCTCAACTACATGTAAAACCACCTTATTTTAACGCTGACAATACTAGAAAGCTGTGAAGCACAAGCCAAGGACTTTGCATGGGTTAGTTTGACCTCTCTGTCTTCGGAGGCTACCAGCTGCCGTCAGTCACCAGTGACCCCGTTGCTCAGCAAGAGGAACGCCCCGAGACAGGACGGGATTTCATCGCTGTGCATAGATTAGACTGGGCTGTAAATCCTCCGAGATGATTTGAAAAGGACGGTCTACGACTGCAATATTTCTTGATGAACTCACAATTCTGGTTTAGCTGTGTCACGGAGAAAAGCTGGAAAAAAGTTGATTTGCCAAGAAACCCAAAGGGATTGGAGAAAGCATTTTAGGGCAAGTTTCAAGCACTGAAATAGCTGCCTACAAAGAAAAACTCTCAGAATAGAAATTATTAACCCTTCTCTTTTGTGCTGATGCCGAGAGACTCTTTGCTTCTCCCTAAATATGAATGTCTTTAGACAGTAGAGTTGCTGTAGTCAATATGGTCTAGCATCAAAGAGAGTCTGCAAACAGAAGGAATATTTTATATTAGACCAACTATGTTATCTGGAAAAACAGGCATGTTCTGGGGCACACACGTGGTGGGAAGCTTGCCTGCTTTTTGCAGCTAGAGTAGGCAATCCTGGAAAAGTTGTCTCCGTAACACTCAGTACGTATCCCTGTAAATCCACAGGGACACATCCCAGGCTCCCAGCATTTCTGAGTCCTTTTGGACTATGGACTTGCAGGAGCTCAACCCATTGAGCCGAGACTCATTGCAGGCATAATTTAATTCTGCATTATTCTACATATTCTACATTACAGGCATAATTTAATCAGATGGAACTACACGTAGACTAGAAGCACAGAGGGTGCTTAGGGAGGTGGGGGAGATGGAGCAGAATTGCTCTAACTCAAGGGACAGTGAGTCCCTGCCAAAATCCTTAACAGTAAGTTAAAAGCTTTCTGCAGAGGAAAGAATACTTTTCTTTCACTGCTAAATTTAATTATTCTGAGTTGCTGACTCAAAGTCACACAGATTTCTCTTTCAAAGCATTTGATTGAAATAGTAGATATCCATGTTGGGTTTTTTTCTACGTTCAAGGCAATCTTTTTATCTTGATATCTATGATTTTACAAGTAAATCTCATGCAGTGACCAGAAAAAACTTATTGATGCCCTTTATTTAGTATACAATAGCTAATCTGGTCATTTTGCAGTAGTAATTCCCAATAACTAACATATTTTTCATCTGTGTTTTCCAGCGGCTTGAGTCCCTCACCTCCATTAGGAAAATGCCTGCTTCGTTACCAGCACGGGGTCCCCCAAATTAGTATCAACAACACAGGATGGGCCAGGGTTTTTCCATCAACACGAGCGTATGAAATGTTTTCCTACTGGCTCAGAGCAAACCTCTGCTGACGGTTGTTTTCAGCAATAAATCAGTTCTCTCGGACAGATAGGATCAAGCAAAGACATAAATACATCAGCAGGCAGGATAGGAGGGTGTGCACACAGGTTGCACTCTGCAGCCTGCTATTATCAGTGGACAGAAAAATCAATGGAATATCTGAGCCCATTGTTTTCCTGGCAAGTTTTCAACTTTTTTTTTTTTTTTTTCATTTGGCTCCACGCTGTGTTTCAACCCCTGTTTTCCTTTTTAATAAATTACAGTGACAAACTGTCATCCTTTCCCCAAGCAACAAGTGAAGTTTGCCATGGGGCCAGCATCCCTGATCATATCTCCACTCTCTATTTCTGCTCTGTTAGTGAATGTTCTGGGGTTTGTTTTCTTTTAAGCAGAGCTCTGGGAGTTGGTCTCCACTTAGAGGAAAAGGCTGGAGCCCGTGCGGTTGATGAAAACCACAAATGAGAGTTCAGTGGCCAGACAGTAAATAAGAACAGTCCAGTGCATATTACTTCTAGAATATAATGAATTTTAAGTCAGTATTATGTGTTTTGATGTGTGATTCATGCTTATTAAATGCTCTGGAAAGGTAACACATTATTTTGCAAATAACAGATCATTAATAAGCTTAAATAATGTCAAAGTCCCAAGCTCTGTACATTATTCTCCTTCCAAAGAGACTGTCTCGGTGATCAGCCTGGAGAAATTTGGGTTTTGTAAAAATAAATGTGGGTTGGTTTGTCTTTTTTTTTTTTTTTTTTTTTTTTTAAAAAAAAAAAAAAAAAAAAGAAGAAAAAAGGAGCTTATTTATTCTTCGTTTGTGATCTGACAAAAAGAACATTATTGTAATTGTGACTAAAACATTGTGACCAGGCTGCTGTTCCCAGCCCAGATCATTCAGGACATCACTGTCATGAGCAAACCACTTCACTTGCAGATACTTCAGAACTCACGGCGGTAAAAATCAGTAAGAAGTCCAAATCTAACCCAGAGACAACTGCCAATGTCTTTGTAAATATCCATCTCCTTCCCTCACAGGAACTACTTAGTGGGAAAACCATGTTCTGAGGCTGAGAGGAGCCTGGCTTATGGAACACTGCAACTCTTCCATCCTCTTACATCTATTCTCCTCCCTGGAGTTACACCACAGCAAGACCAGGATCCGAGAGTGGCACATGAGACCCCAAGCCCTGGTGCAATGCTGCAAGATACGGGATTTCACTTGTCCTAATGCAGTGTTACCCAATACTGACACTGCAGTTTGTTTGCCGCGTGTGCTGGTCCTGTGATGCTGCTGCCCTTTGGCAAAGCAGATTTAAGGGCAATACTCTAACCTCCATGTCTGCAGCCAGGCAAATGGGGCTGATCTACAGCACAATTCTCCTTGATTGGAACCAAAACCTCATGTGTGTTTCCCAAAAAGTGCAGCTCTGCCCGGCCTCCCCCATCCTGGGCAGGGGAAATCCGGCAGAGCAGACTCCTCTGGCACTAACAGGCAGAAACCCCCACTTTTTCTTTCACTTTGCCAAGTCCAAATACGTGACTTAGGGTTTTGTGACAGGGATGAAAGTCCAACAGCTTTCTAATGTGGCTGTTCATGATTGGGATGTCCTAAACAGGCCCTATAAAGCTGATTTTAGGATTTCCAGCTGTGGCAATGTGCCCTTAAACCCCACAGGCATTGAAAGTGCCCCGTGATCTCAGTCCCTTAGATTTCAGGTATACTGACTCCTACTAACTGCTTCTCACCAAGGTACCAGACGAGTGACTGTTTGCAAGGAAGGAGCATCTAGAGGACAGCCCCTCCGAGCATGCAGCTATATCCAGTGCCTACTTGAAAAAAAATAAGGAGAAGGAGAAGAAAGAAGACGGGCATGATGTCAGCGCTGGCCGCCAGCGATGAGCAGAGCCACACAAAGAAGCCACTTTGCCTCACCCCTCCTCCTCTGCCACACAGACGGGTAAAAACAAGGCACTGCAGCCTGTTGCTGAGATGACGAGGCTTCAAGAACATGCAGGTGTTGCATTGAGGACAATGAGCTCCACAGTCTGCACTGCTCAAAACAATCTCCTCTGCATGCACTGAGGACGGGAAGAAATTCCCAGGGAAACTTGGAGGCCAAGGGCAAGGGCTGGGCAGAGGGGGTTGGGAGGCACAGGCGACATGCCAGCCCTCTTCCCAGGTCCCTGTCGCCTCCTTGATCCCTCCCCTGCTGTCCCCACAGGACCAGCACCCCCTCAGCCATGGGCTTGCCTTCCCAAATGCCTCAGCTTACTTTGACCTGGCTGCAACTGCAATGCCCAGGGAAAACTCAGAGGCTATCCATTCCCTGTAAGCAGCTTGGAGGTTCAGACCCTTCTCCAAAACTAGGATCTCTTCCACAGCAAACCAGCAAAACCAGCTGCCTGTGTGCGATCACTATCACCCTCCCACAGACACAGGCAGTGGTCACGCCCGAGGACTCCACGAGACAACGCACAGCAGGGTCTTGCAGCCCTTCCCTCTTCACCCTGCTTCGCTCCTGGCCTCCTGTCCCTGTCCTCCCACTCCTGTTCAAGCCTTTTGTTCACTCCACAGACTGCAGCAGTGCTGGAGAGCTTCAGAGTCAGCCTAGGCTGGACAACCATCCCTTCAGCGGAACGTGCTCAACCAGGTTGCCCTGTGCCATCCTGGAGCAGAGGAAGACCTCCTGCTCTCCCCACACAGCGGGCGCCTTACCCAGGAGGATGATGAGGATCCCTCCCAGCTGGGACCGCCGGTACTTGGCAGCTCCAGGCTCGTGGCCCATCCGGATGCAGGGCAAGACTGTTATCAGCAAGAAGATAGCGGGAAGACCCAGAACGGAGGCGGCGATCATCAGTGCTCGACATGCTTGGACATACCCTGTTGGCAAGGCAAGGAAAGAGGATTTTAATTATTTGGCACAAGACAAGGAGACCTTTGGACAAAGGCTCCTGTTTGATTAGCTCCCAATGCTCTCATGGAATATGGGAGACAGGTTCAACCCTTTGTGTGAGCAATTAAAGCAGTGAGGCTACAGTATGGTGGTTAGTGCATGAACACGGGATGTACAAGCTCAAAATTTTCCAATGAACAAGCAGAACTGCCTGGAAAACACGAGCTCTTCCCAGCAAGACACTGAGGAATCACAGAGCTGAGAAATATGGGAAGGGAAAATAAGAGAAACAGCTAGAAATGTGTTTCACTATATCTCCACAAAGAGTCTTGATTAAATAACAAGAATTTAAAGCCTTAAAGAGCAGCTTGCTGTGAGAAGAGGAGGCCCACAGACACCCAGAGAAGGGGTGAATACTTGCAGACCCATTACTGAAACATGCGGGTCCATGAGACACCACCACCAGGTGCCCTGAGGAGCTGAGGACTGCTGACCTGGGAGGAGGAGGCACACACACCACCCACAGCGACGTCCCCATACTGCACCTCAGGAGCCCAGTGGGTAGCGGGGTTTCAGAGGAGACCCGGGGCTCGAGCTGACCACTGGCACAGCTCTTCCTCAGGGAGAAGAAATAACTGCACTTTGCAAAGCAGCTTGAGTTGCCATAATCACGTTATTCCACGGGATTCCCTGGGATTTTACAAGTTCCTGGCCCTCTCCTGCCTGCCCCTGTGCAGCAGCAGCCTAATGAATGACAGTGAGGAAGAACTGGGGCCAGGGACTGTGGGCGTGCTGGGCAGGGCTGCGACATTTCTACCACTCTGTGGGAGTCCGTGTATAATAATTTATCTTTGATATTCATATATATTTTATGTATATATAATTCATTTTAATATATTTTCATATATAAAATTTTTATATACTATGTAAAATTTCTATATAAATAAATAAAACCAGGTCATTACTTGCATGCAAAAGAAAAAGAAGTGTCAGATTTGCTCCAGAGCCTCCCCACCAGCTCTCAGGACAGTCTCAACACACAAAGTATGCCGGCTCTCATTCCCCTTTACTAACACAATGAAGCTGCCACATGCAGACATGGAGTTTCGTGATGCCTCAAACAATATCAGTGAACAGGGTCCTCCCTCAAGCAGGTCCCGCTGACATACAGGTAAGTCACCAGGAATGAGGATTTTCCTTTTCCTGGCAATGCAGAGTCTGTGTATACTGCATATTTGCTTGATTTTATCAAGAGGGAACTTAACAAAAAAAAAGTTACCTGAGGAGTTCAGGGCAAAAAATCACACCCTAAACAGAGGAGATGGCAGTGCCCAGTGTAGTTTCTGTGAAATCAATCCCAATTAAATGAGAATACTTTCACCTTTAAGACTCGTTGCAGACAATGAAACTCTAAATACATTTCAGCTATTGGACACACCAGGATGAACTTCCCTCTCATGGAAAGCCGCGGGTGTCAAATAGGCTACAAGCAGAAGCATCTTGCTTTGTGATTTGTTTCTGCAGGAGAGAAGCACTGCTTTCTGCTGCTGAAAGACCTATTTACCTATTTATTAAATTTTATTCAATAATGTTTCTTCAGGGCAATCCTTTTCTCTGTCTTCTGTGCTGGATCATACTGAACAATAAGGAAGGTAAATCAACTGAAATAAAAGTATAAACACACAGAGAAAGGAGGAATAGGAACTAGTGAGAAATTCAATGTTGCTAAGTACTACGTGTACCAGACTAGGCTCTGTAACAGAGAGGAACTCGGGGATAATATTTCTAACCTCTCGTGAAATTCATTTCACAATAGTTTAAACAAATAAATAAGGAATCATGAAAGAAAACTACGAGGAATGGTAATTTCTACCCTGCCAGCTTTGAGAGAGGCATCTCTGACACGCTAGAGAAGGTGCAATCTAAAACACAGCAGAACAAAGCAGCCCGACAGAGTTAACAGTGATTGAAACAGGTAAGATCATTAAACTTACCGGGACAAGACCACACAAGACTTGGGCAGGTTTAATTAGCTCAAAAGATGTATTAATACTGATGAAACATCTTGCTTAATTTCTGCTTTGCAGTAAACCAGATGAAAATTACTATATAATTAGAAAATATGAAGACAAGCTAAATATAGTTACATCTCTTTGCCGGGTAGAAGTTCTGTCTTGCCTTAGAACATGTGGGAAGCACAAGACCATCGAGACTAACGACGATCTTCCAAAAGATTAAAAGCCATAGCAGCATTAATAATAAAACGCTTGAAAGATTCATTATACTCAAAATCCTTTTGACGAACAGAACCTTAACATTTGTAATAGTTCATCGTCATCTCAAAGCAAAACTTCAAATACTCTATTATAGCTCGAAGTACTCTATTATACCTCAATAAACTGTTTGGCAATGAGAGATACAAGATGCGAAAGGAACAGCGAGTGTTTACTAAGAGCGGTGATCAAACATGAACTGGACTTTAATAGCCACAGATATCGCAATACCTGGGTACGATTAAAACCGGGTGTAACTCAACTACAAGCATGTTAAGAGCTGTCATTCACATCCTTTGGCATATTTAATGGACCATCCCCTGCACTGATGAAGTTGACGGAGCTTCGCCATGGATTCATGCCGGGCAGGACCTGCCCTGCTCGGAGCAAGGCTTCAGCCCTCAGCTCCGGGAGGGACGGGGGAGGAGGGCACACGTACCTGGCAGGATGAGGATGTCCACGAGGGGTTTGCAGTGATAGAGACCTGTCGCCATGACACAGTCTGCCCACAGCCCCTTGGATCCCAGCTCATCCATTTTCCTGCAGGTGGTAATGGTGTAGCCGCAAGTCACCACCCAGTCATTGGTGGCCGTTGCCACCACCACTCCGATCCACCCGATGAAACTGCAGACAAATCCGGCCAGGTGCAGGCAGGTGGCCACCATGTCGCTCCCTTGGGGGGCAAGCCGGACAGGAGAGTGCCCTCAGGGCTTCGGCTGAGCCGGCCGGCGAGCTCCGGGCTGCGCGTCCCGGCTGCTGGGACCTTCTGCGAGCTGCCAGCAGGAGGGACAGGGGGCTGGCAGGAGCAGGTCCCTGCTCAGGCACTGCTGCAGGCTCTCGGCTGCCTCTGCCCACCTCCCTCCCGGGGAGGGGTCAGAGCCGTCTCCAGCCCCACAGCGCATGGGAGGAGCGAGCGGGGAGCCCCAACTTCTGCCGCTCCGGCAAGAGAGTTGGAGGGGAAGGAGGGTGTGGAGAGGAGGAGATGCGGAATCACACCCACCCGCGCTTGAAAAACAAACCAGACTGCTTTATTCGAATGCGAACAGCCAGACTCTTCAAAATTTAGCATCCAGGGAGAAAAATCGAGGCAGTGTTTTCACGCTGAAGACAATGACCACACTGGTACCTCTTTATGAAAAGACAGGACAAGAAACGTGGTGGATGGGGTTACTCAAGAGGGTGGAATTGATCATCTCATCAAATCTATCAGCACAGCTGCAGTAAAAGGACAAAATCAGTCTTGGGTCTTTCCTGATGTTTTCAGTAACTGCAAAAACATGGGAGACCCACCACTGTGTTCTCTGCTCGTGCCTGGCTTTTCAGAAGTATTCACTAACACTCATGGGGTCTTAAATACGTGTTTAACAGCACCTTATTTCCACTTCTGAATGCTGAAATTAAAATGAGCAGCTTTTTACTCAGACTCATTATGGGTGTAAGTTTTAGTCTACTTGATACAGCAAGGAACAGCCCACTGCAAAACGTCAAGAGAAACTTCACCGCCCGTTCTGCATCAGGAGAAATAGGCAGGCAGGATATTTTCCCAACTCTACTTTGTATTTTCACAAACACATATAGACGTTAGCGGGTGCCAACACACCCCTGGTGAAATTTCAGCGTTGTGCGTCCTCCAGTGCTTCTGATTTTGCAAAGGGAGGGTTTGGATCTCCGCAGATAAAACATGCCTGGAGAGACCGCTAGTGGGGAGCCGTCCGCATTGCATGGGAGCGAGGGAAAATGGGCGAGAGCATGACGCAACGAGTTTGATTCATTCCTGGAGCTGTTCGTGAGAAAGAATTACGGGAAAATACACTCCAGGATTAAGGTGTCGGGAATAAAATGTATCCTGTTCTTCATCCAACGGTATTTTTTCCCATTCTTTAGCAAATAAAGTGAAGAACATGAACAAGTCCATCCTAAATTTAATTTGTTACGTATTCCTTAGATTCAAAATTCAAAGGCACGAGGCCACAGTTCTGTTTTGTCAAAGCTTCATCTGAACACTGGAGTTACTACATAAATAGTAGAGGAACTTTTATAATAAACGGAGATTTAATAGCTGTTTTCACATTTGGTTTTTATTGTTGGTTACTCCTTGGGGTTTTTTCTATACCCAGTTTACAGGATTTTTGTGAAGCCATGATGTCGTTGGCTTTCCTGATGTGATTCCAACCTTTCTACAAAGCTTATTCTTCTGCTGCACCCACTTCAGGTGGAGCAAGCTGTCACTTACATCCAACCACCATTTTCATGTTGTCTAGGGTTCAATTCTGGATGTTTTGAATCTTTCTCCCCAAAATATTCCTGCTTATTTTTCAGGAGATAAACTTGTCATGTCTCAAGTGAAAATAATGTTGTTCCACTTCTTGGACCCCAGAATTGCCTTGGACAGATCCCATGCCAGCTCCTGAGTTTGGGAGACAAGCTGACAAACACATTCCTGCCTCTCCCCTTTGCTGGCTCAGTTTGCAGTTTTTCAGTCTGGCATTTTCTCCATTTACAGCATCCCTGCAAATTAAATAGCTGGTCTGTTTGCGTCAGGTACAAATGCATACAGCTTAATACTGCGCTTTGATCAATACCAGGCATAAGGCTACTTAACAGCTTTGGGATGACTGATCCCACCCTGTATCATCCAACGATACTGTCACCACAGTCCTTTGGAATTTTAAACCCATGCATATTCTCTAAATCACACTAATACTTAACATACTTCAAAGTATTTCATTTTTCTTCAAAATACCAGAAAATTTTGCAATATCTTGATATCCCATTTCATCCCAAGGCTGAGATTAGAAGCATTTTACATGGTGACAGTGTAGGGACATCCTAATGCACAAACCTCAGTTTTTTAAAATGCTTTAGGATATGAATTCACAGGCTGCGGACACATCCTCCTGTAGCTCAGCCTCTTACAGTTGCAGTTTCCTTAACCTCAAAAGCTCCTTACACTGCCACATCTTCCTTCACAAATGTATTTGTCAAAGAGTGTGCAGCAGCTCAACGGGCAAGAAGTAGATTTTACACTTCAGTTACTAGTGAAGTTACTAGTACTATTCAGCAGTACTTGATCTGGTGCCCACAGGGCACCATCCAAATTATTTTATTCATGTCAATAGAAACAGGAAACATCTACTATTTTGTCAGTGTTATAAATACCACCAATAGTTAAGTGAATAGAAGTCAGTACGCTACAAGTGAATAATGATTCACAAAACCAATAAAATAAGAAACAAAGAACGACTTCCCATATACTAAACTGATACACCTAAGGCAATATTCTTAAAATTTGCCATTTTTAAAGCAAGCGCTACACATGCATTTACTTCAACAACAGTGTGAACACCTTAAAAATCAATCTTTTAACCCTGTCACCCAAGCAGTTTTTCGTTGATCAGCATTGTTATTTTCTGACAAATGACATGTGTTGCCATTAGTCAGACTTACACAAGCTAACACCCTATGACTTTTTCCTCATACAAATGACTCACCTTGAACTTTTCCTTTGCAGGGTTTTCAGCCCAATAGCTTCGCCCTCACTTGGAAATACAGCAGTGTAAAAATATAACGTGGGATCCAGAAATAAACAGGGTTAAGTCTTTAAGTGGTACAGCTAGTTGTTAATTTTCTTCCATACTAAAGGCTGAGCTCATCAAAACATTACCAATTTCATCTTCATCCTGGTTAATCCTGCTCATTTCTCTCTTCAGCTGTAAAATACAGGCAAGTACATGGTAGCATTAAGGGTTTTCAATAATATGAAACATAATCAGGATTTTCTATATGCAATACCAGTACTTCAAACAAGGACAAAGCATTTTTGCTGATTTGAGAGGAAGGAATCTAAGTACATGTAAGTGACTGCACTTGCTTACCTGTCAAAAAAGCCCAAATCCTTAGTATCGATAAATATCACCTAGAAAATCTCCAAAATATTACTTATAGTACAAGTTATATTTTTTTACTACAATCTGGATTTTTTTAAGTGACCAGCAGTCTACTGTTTTAAGTGGGGGATGCTCAACCTAAATGGAAGACCCGTTCACACGTCACTTACAGGAACAGCTCCCTTCTTCTCCTTGCCTCCTGCCTCTCTGTTCCATTCTGAATTTTCTGCTGTTTAAGCCCCCTGATGGTAGACAAAAAAGTTACACAACATGACCATGTGATTTATAACAACAAAGAACCCCAGAGTGTCTCTGTTAGGCTTTTTTTCCATCAGCAAACAAACTGTAATTCTCATTCCTGACTTTTTTTACAAATCTTAGCATTTTATATGGTGATGTGTGACTCTCACCTTGTTCATTACTAAGCTGCTAAGGAGAGGTGTGAACAACTCAAGAGTGGTCAAGTAGCAACAAAAACTGTGCACCACAGTGTGCCAAATACACAAGCGGTTGTATTTACACCTACAAATACCAAGTTTTTATCAAGATACACAGAAATCTTAGTGTCAGTATCTTCACAGAGCTTTAGGAAATGGGCTCATGGTGAGGGAGGGCTATTGATCTTGTAGATTTTGCTAAAAATGTCCTTTAGAAAACTGAGGACCTGCTGCAGGCAGTGGGAGTTGTGCTTAACAAGTTTCAGCGTGATCAGGTTTTAATTTTTTGTAATCAAAGTAGATCAAGCCTCCTCAGAAAAGCACTGTTACTAATCACCTTTCAAAAGGTCAAGTTTAGAAGTCAGTGTTCAAAAATATTACAAAGACAAGCGTTATGCCATTACAGTTCTTTATTTGTTTTTGAATCCACAATCTATACAAGTATTTACAAGGCATGAAAATGGATAACAGCACAAAATACAATTGAGGTATAAGCTAAGAGCACAGTATGTCATGTTTCAATAAATATAATTCAAAATTTGTAAACTAAGTGACCAGATAGATGCATCTTGTTTACTAAAACCATATAAAATATCTGTTAAATCTCACGTGAGGTAGAGGACAGTTTTGTGTGTCATGTAATGCAACCACAGCAACTCTAACAATAAGACTGTACATCATTGGCAAAGTATTAAAAATTGTTGAATGCACTGATCGTTTTTCACAGGATTTTACTATGGTTTCAGAATAGTCATTCAACCTGTTGCCTTGAGCTAACACAGACTCTGGCTTTGCAGCTACTTTCTGTAATTTGAGATAATTATACTGGCATGTCAACATCAATACTTTTGAGAGAATTAAAACACAAAAACAGATTTTGTCCATCACAGAAAGCAACATAATGGCAACAAAATATTTTAGACCAACCTTTTATTATTTCCCAGAATTAAATACAGTATACAGCTGTGCTTTCCTTTAAGTGAGGTATCTATATTCGAAGGAAAAAAAAAATCGATTGATATTGTTACATTTAATCCTTTTTCAAATAGCAAAATTTTATACCATTTGTTTGCTGTGCTTGATGAAGTGCTTAAAACTCATTTTTCAAACATTTTCCAACTGAATCACTAACCCTGAAAAAAAAAAATTTTCTAAGTAATGGAGACACACCCCAAAATTGTCATGCATTTTGTAAGCAATAAAAGCTTTCACAAAAGCTAAAAAAAAAAAAATGGATGACTTTTTGAAATAGAAATATGCAACAAACAAAATTCTACAAACTTTTTGTAATGAAAACTGATGAATACTCACACTACAAATGTAAGGAGCAAAACAAAACCCGAAATTTGCAGCTTTCTGCTGCTTACTACTGACATCTTAAATAACATTACTGAAGTATTCCAAGCACAGATTAACAGGTAGGTGTAACTAACGTCTTTTGTCGACTTCGCCAGGTTATAGAAAACTCTGTTGTGTGGATTAAATGACACGAATTAAGTGCAGAAAAAATACAAACTTGTTATCTTTACTGACAATCAAAATATATACTCTACAA